CAAGTTTAACTGTGATACTCAGTCATGGAAAAAGAATTTTCACTAGTTTGTTCCCAGAAACATCATCGACTTTTTCAGATACATAGCCAGCCTTAGACAACACACTGCATCCAATAGCAATAGTTTTGTTTTTAGTATATTGGGCAAGATGAAATCCCAAGTGCTCTGGAAAACCAGGCCCTTGATTTCTCAGAAAGGGCACTTCCCCTTAGTTGTCCCCTCAGACTGCCCCAGTGCTCATCCATGTGCCCTAATCCCACATGTGTGCACTGGAATTAAAATGCCTCCTTAGCTGGCAGAAGCCATGCAGCCATTAAGGTTTGCAGCTGAGATGGAATCAGAGTTGTTCAGGTTGGGAAACACTTCTAAGATCATTGAGTCCAACCACTGAACCAGCACTGCAAGACCACCACTAAACCATGTCCCTAAGTGCCACCTCCACAGGTCTTTTAAATAAATACCTCCAGGAATTGTGGAGGAATTCCCTGGGCAGCAGAATGATACTGGGGAAGACCCTACAAGAAAATGAGCAGCACTGGAGCACTTGATCCTGAGTGAGGGCTAGTTTCCCCAGGCACCACCTGCACTACCTGATGATGCTGTTTGATGATGACACAACATAACTCACAAAGGGAAATGAGTTCATATTGCTATAAATATAGCATTTCTTTTTCTCCCCCAAGCACCTGACTTTGCATCCTTAACACGTATACATGTAAACTTGCTTCTTCTTCACTGAAGATACACCAACAGCCATAAAATATTGGCCAGATTAACTGCCATAAACTGTTATGGATTAGGAGCAAAATATCTCCAAAATTATTTCAGCTCATATCTTTCCTGCTCTTGAAACCATATTAAAAAAATCAAATTTCCCTGTACATTGAAGGAAAGCATTGCATGTGTGTCTATTCTGCATGTGGAAAAGAAAATTTTGTGTACACAATGAGTATACATACAAATGGCTTTTGACTGCAGTGTTAAGTAGTGCCTTTAGAAAATTATGTCCCATTAAATAATTCGCTTTATCCTCCCAGAAGAAGAAATCCAGAAGTGTCTAGTGAGGAACTAAATTAGTGAAAGTGAGGACTTAGAAAATATTGTCCTCTGTGTAGCAATAGTAACACCTCGTTATTGTCTTATATAGAGAACAAACAAATTGTATAATTTGTAGCTCAGACAAGCAAGTCCCGGTTAACAGAGTCATACAGGATGAAAGGGGAAATGGGAGTGTGCATTCCCCTGCCTAGATACCTCTCCTGACACAGAGCAGGAGTGCTCTGCCACACTAACTCTAGCTTAGCAAGGGGCAGGTGCAGATTTATGTGCACTGCCATTAATAAACTGGGCTACCAGAGCAGGCCACAGCGAGGGGAGGATGTAACAGACACCTCTGGGCAAGAGCTCTATGAAATCAGTCCAGCAAGAAAGCAGAGACAAATTTTGAAAACCAGCTGGGCAAGATACAACTATCTTTCAAGGCTCAGGACAGGTAATCCTGCCTAACTGACAGCAGGGGCTGACTTTTAAATAATGTCAGAAATGTTAAGAGAATGAATCATTTTATAGATGGCAACAAGAAATAGCTGAGCTCCAAATTTTGAATAGTGCTACTAGTATAGAGCTATTGTTTTTAGAGTACATTCAAATCCATTATGCATTGAACATACAGATAAAATAGCTCAGCAACTAAAAAATTAGAAAAAAATACGGTAATGTGGGGACTAAATTATTGTAGTTTGGTGGAAACTGTTCTTCTCAATGTTATTCTCACCTTCAAATTCTGTACAGGCTTCCTGTTTGTTCCTGGATTCCTACCGACTGAGACTAGGTCTTGGCCTTATTATCTGATAGTTTGTAATATCTACTACTTGATGACTTGATTAGAAATTAAATTTTAAAAATCTTGATATTAATTTAAAACCTACAAGGTTTTGCTCATTATTTCTGAGACAGCCTATTCAACTCCTAGTCAGCAGCTACAGCAAAGTATGCTGACCCCATTGATGAGGCAATCAATTATGCTGGAACAAAACAAACTTGCAACTAGAAAGAAAGGAAGCCTATGGTTTTATACAGAGCCAGAGAAAACAGAGAGAAACACCATTTGGCAATTGACATAGGAGAAAATATTTCATTTCCAGGTTCCAGTAAGATATATTTTAAATTTGTATTAAATACGATTTACAAAATCAATGTTCTTCTATGCTGGACAGCTTTACTTGGAGTGAATGAAGACAAACCAGGGCACACATCCAAAGCTGTGGCTCTACAAGCATGTGGCACTCAGGAATGGAGATTTACATGCCAGCAACTGCAATTATCCCAACTAGCAATGATTTAGCATTCTGTGATGTCTAGAGCCCAAAAAACACAGGCTATGCCTCTATATCACAACCATCTGAAATCCAGGTTTAAATTCTGCCATTAAAGAAACTGCAGCACAGCTTGCTGCTATGTGCACGCTGGAGAATAAAAATGATTAATTCCGCCCATCAGTGAAGTTTTTGCTTTTGAGTATCACAAGCCTTTGCTGTGTGCAGCAGAAAAAAAAAGAAAATAATTTTTATGCTTAGTTTCTGATCCTTATTCAAAATCATGCAACAGTGCTAATTACTAAACACTGGGAAGACTGAATAAAATATCATAAAATGATGACTTAAAAACCGACAAAACAGAACACCTTAAACCTAAGTAAATTTGCCACATTATTTTAGTACGTGATTTTTAGTGCATGAGCTCAGAAAATATTTTCATGTTAAAATTAACAGAGGAAAGTAACTGGAAAAGAAGCAAATCAAAATGGAAATACACCATGTAATACACGCTGCCATGATGAGCTGAACATCTGAAAAAAAGAGTAGAATGATCAATCCCTCACCACAAGAAAAAGAGACATGTAAAGATTGGCTTGAGAAAAAAAAGATTTCCTCTTGGAATCACCACAGCAGGAGCCAGAGGAAGCTTTGCACCCAGAGACCTAATGTCGTCTGTTAAGCTAACAAAACTAGTCTGGAAGAAGAAAAAAAGTAAGACTTCATCTTTTCATCCCCTTCCACTTCACTGCTCATCTCCCTAGTGCTTATCTTGATCCCGAGGTTTTTTTCCTCCTTCTCCCTCTTCCTTTCTTGCTGTTTTATTTTTTTTTATGCTGACAGAGGAGCAGCATGGGTGCCTGATGCCAGCTGCCTCCTAACTGGAGCCCTGCCTTTGTCATGCGCGTTGTCACATGGAGCAATCACAGACTGGAGCAGAAGGGGTCAGTGACAGAGGTGGCTGGTGCTGAGGATTCCACCTGGCCAGCAGAGCCTGGCATAGGCTGCAGAGCCCTGTGGCTGCTGAGGGCCAGCCCCAGGGTCCTGTCACACTCAGGGGACCAAACACCCTAGAAGTGGTCAGTGCCTGGTGCCACTGGACAGTTTGCAAAGAAACCACAGAAATTCCCTACCTAAGTCAGCAGCTTTCTGCTCAGTTTGCCACGAGCATGTAATGCATGATATGTAATTCAGAACTTGCCATGACTTGCCAGTGGGATTTTCTCTAGGACATGCTCTAAGGATGTCCCACCACAAAACAATGACAGCGTGGCTGTAGGGTTGCCAAAGCACAAGAGCTGCTCTCTGTACCAAATCACAAACTAAACTAACAACAAGAATACAATGTGCATTACACAGGCATGTTAATCTTACATTTACACATGGAAAAATCCTAATGCAATATATTATTCCTCTGAGGTTTTATGGCATATTCTTCTTTCAGTTACTATAGAGCAGACCTGCCCTGCACAGCTCAGGCTGTAATGTGAACAGTAACTTTTACATTAACACCACATAAGAAACAATCAGCAATGGCTTATGCTATTGGGAGAGTAAATACAACTACAGGCTATCTATAAACTGTAGGGATACCGTGAGAGAGAACTCGCCACAGATCTCAGTTCTGCACACTGTCCCCCTTGGAGTTCAAAACACTCTGGGGACAGGACTCCATCCATCCATCCATCCATCCATCCATCCATCCATCCATCCATCCATCCATCCTCCATCCATCCATCCATCCACAGGGAAGGAATTACAAGGTTTATAGAACTGAATGAAGTACAGCTAAATTACACACTTAGGTACAACTCTACATTAGGCTGAAAATAACTTCATTTTCTAGTGTTTGTGTTACCTTAGAAAAGTACCTTGAATAATTACTCATAAAATTAAAAAGAATAAAACCACATAGTCCTGGCCAAGTTAGCTTGGTTTATCATTGAGCAATTTGTCTCATTTTATCCACTGATGGCAGATCTAGAAATAGGCAAAATCCAAATTTTAAGCTTAAAATATGAACTCTACAGATCTGTATTTCTCTGTATGTATTGTAAGCCCACACCAGGGAATACTTTCAAAAATAAAAATAAACATCTAAACTTTGAATGCACTTTAAGGGTCAAAAAGCAATGGGAACAAATGCATTATTTAATCTTAAAAACCACACTCGATTCAGTGCAAGGCTAAAGAGGAAGCTCAGGCTCCCAGAGGCATGTGAAGTGAGGACTGCTTTGAGGGACTGCTGCAAACAGGGCTGGAGCTGAACTTTCCCTCAGCCATGCCTCTGCCTGGGAGAGGTGGCAAGGTTGAAAAGCTGAAGACAGGCAGCTTTTAATAAGAATTAGCTGCCATTTTCTCAGGCACAGTGAAACAGAGAGGAATAATACTGGGAATTTCTTGCTTACAACAAAATAAAGGCATTACTCAATTAAGAAGAAAGACTGCTAAAAAGAGGGGTTACTCACACAAGGCTTGGAGTGAATGATAAAATTCTTAACCTTTTTAATAGCCCATTGTTATCAGGTACATCTCTACTACAGTGTCTTTGTTTTCCCTCCACCCTCATTAAGGGTCAGGTCAATTTCTCACCTGATCAACACAGACTCTGCTCTCATTACCTTGACTCAAAGCCAACAGTACCTTTTAGAAAATGCTCACAATAATCATCAGCTATGTGCTTACCCTGAGGTAGTTGAGGGTGAAGTTTGTCAGACCCATTCGAGTGATGTTTTTGGACAGCTGCTCCAGCACCTGAGGGTCTTGTGCCTAAACGACAAAGGAAAAAATAATTTTCACTTTGCTTTTCATTGGGGTATTTTTTCTATGTGCTTAGTGGAATGTAGGGAGAGTTTCCTGAAAAGCAGTGCCACTGCTATGGAAAAATTACCCACTGATGCTAAATTTATGTAATAAGCTAGAGTTCCATATGCATAGGAAAATGTAAAGCATGATGAAATTGGAGCAGACTAAAGACTGTTTTCCAGTATGTTCCTTTGATCCCTGACCATCCATTCAAAAGATACACCTAAGAGGTCTGGTCATGCAAGTGAGCAGGGCCCCACCAAAGAGCTTCCTGGGGGACTGCAGTACACCTTGAGCCTTCTATTTGTTGGCTGTGAGTCCCAGGAGACTAGACAGAAAAAGGCAGGAATAAAAAACGTATCATTTTCTTTCTGTGAGTAAGAAACTGCAGCAGAAAGACCTCATCAAATATGTGACATTAAACACAGTCTGGAGAACCCTTCTGATCTAAGTTATTTTCCCAGAATTAAATGGTGAAAAATGCAAGTATAGTTCTTCCCTGACCCTAGCCAGGAGCTTTACCTGTGAGACCAGCCTCCTCTTTAAAATGAGATCAATCTCATTACTAAAATTAATACCTGCTGCTTGCTGTCTAACCTGCTTCCACTCTGAATTTAGCAGCCCCCTAAATACATAATGTCAATCATGGCCATCCTCATTGTCCCTTAATGGGATACTGTTGAAGAGTTCAGTTGATCAGTTCCCTAAAATAGCAGATAATCCTGGGACATAAATGGTGGGATAGTTTTCAAAGGTGTTTTCTTCAGGCTTGCAATAGCACTTTGGAAAAAAGGTCCAGCTCAAGCAATATAAAATTCCTCAATATTAGTATATTTTTATCTGTGGATATCTAAGTAACTTGATGTCAAAATATAGGAACATCTTTGTGTCTGTGTTCTTACCCTTTGTAAAACCATAGTCCTGCAACTTATTTTATATATCAGGGTGCTACTAGTAGGAAAGGGTCTATGGTGAAGAAATTAAAGTGTCAATAAAAGTATGTTCTTTGTTTCTCTACAATTTACCTTATTATATTTTGACTTGAACTTGTAGAGTATTTAATATGTTAATGCTTCATTGTGTGTGATTTCATTCAATAACAAAAGAAATTTGTGAAATATGGAACAAAAAGTTCTGGATTAAAATTCTACAGGTTTCCAAGTAAACATATGGCAATTTCTTATCTTCTGTCTATGCAAAGGTAACATCACTTTGCTTCATTTAAAACTTATCATTGGTACCTACAATGATGAAAATTCACAGACTTTGGTGTAGTTCAGGTTGATAAGAAGAGATTTGGGACCCAAATCACACAGACCACCAAGTGGGTTTAAAAAGAAAATTACATGCTGAAATAGAATGAAAACATAGCAACAGTGGCAATAATAGAGCACTGAGAAACAAGGGAGACATGAAAGAACTTGTGAATAGATGTAGTTGCAGGAAAGCCAAAATATTTATAGTTAATTGTCTTGGGTGTGAAATTTGCTGGAGTTCCTCATAAACCTAATCTCATCTCTTTGCATTAGGTCAAATGAATAAAGGATTACTTACATGCATGGCTAGAATGCTGCGTGGGACTAATTCTCTGTATTGTCTAATAGTAAAGTGCCATGTTTTTATTCTCATAAGATCATCAAAAGTAAACTCCAAGATAAGACGTCCTTCTGTGCATACCTAGAATACATAAAATGCATGAAATAAATTCCCAGGAATTTTGTTTTCATTGGTATTGCATCATCGATTAAACAACATTCAAAAATATCAGAACAGTATTCTATTGTTCATCTCTGCTAGATTAATTGTTTTTCATCCTCTTGGGGAGAAAAAAACGAATGTGGGAAAATTACTTCATAGGCCTTACCTCAGAGACAGTAACTTATAATGCTATAGATTTTATAGCATTTTACAAACATAGAATATTGTGTGCTAAATCTTATTTATTGCATCAATTCTCTTTTCCTCACAGTTTGCTACTGCTAATTAATGACTGAACCTCACAGTGGAGGTGACTATGGTGCAACTGAGTGCACTTGATGGCAAGTTGCTGAACCAGTCATTCCCAACCTGTTTTAGACTTACTATAGCTTGGTATATAAACCTTCCTCTCATGTCCAGTTGGAATAGGCAGTGCCTTGAATGCCTGTGGCCAAATCTGTTTTTTTTCATAATTTTTCATAACTTTTTAAATATTTTTTTTCTTCTCCAAGCATTTTCTCCTGTTGGGTTTTTTTTTTTGGTGTGTTTTGTTTTTGGGGTTTTTTTGTTTGTTTTGTTTGTTTGCTTTTTTGTGTGTGTGGGGGGGTTTTTTGGTGTTGTGGGTTTTTGGGGGTTTTTTTGGTTTTTTTTTTGTTTTTTGGGGGGCGTGTGTGTTTTTTGTGTTTTGTTTTGGTTTTTTTTGTTTGCTTTGTTTGGGTTTTTTTGTTGGTTTTCTTTGTTTGGTCGGGTTTTTTGCTATTGTTTTGTTTTGTTTTGTTTTGTTTTTTTCTGGGTTTCCTTTCAGTGTTTCTTTTTCCCCCCTTATCTAGTTTTATTAATCCCCCCCTTCCAAGGAAAGCCAGATGGGTGCCTGCCATGGGGCTCTATGAGCTGCATTGCTCACAGGCTTGAGAGTGAGGGGAGCAAAGGAGAGCCAAGACAATGGAGCTACTTCCACAGAAAGTGGCTTTGTGAGGAATCTTGTCTAAGAATGGACAGAAAACATAGGAGGAATAAATGCATCAAGTGGGTACTACCTATAAATGAAACAAATTACTGGGGATTTTTAAACAACTCTCCACAATTTTATGTGGAAAAAGTACATGGTTGTGATCTTCTTTAAGGTGAAAAATACAAGCCCAGCATGGTATCTTGACTGAGGGTACTGTGGAGTATTGAAAATTATGCCTGGTTTGAAAATTAACCACCCTTGCAGACTTTTTTAAAAATTTTATATTTAGACTTAGAATCCCTGTTCATAGTAAACTTGCAAATGCAGGGTACAGACATATTATGGAAACAGGGTGTAATGGCTTTCAAAAGAAATGGTTTCTGCAACCTTAATTTTCATAGAGCTAGTATTTGATTGAAAAATCACCATCCCAGATTCAGCTGAGTCTATTGAGCCTTTTTAAAAGTTCCAACTTAGACTTGGCCAGGTCTCACTTGGTCAATGTGTGGCTTTTCTGGTTAACAGTTCACTTAATATCCTTGCAGTTTTTCCTCCTTATTGTTTCTGCAGAAACACATAGGCAGCTTTAACAGGCTACATAGACAAATTCCTGTAGACTTGTGAAGGAGAATCTTGCAACAGGTTCTCATCTACCCTTTTCAACACACCTTAGTGATGCCTTCAGACATTTAATGTGCCTTATGTTTCACCTTTGATTTTCACATCACCTGCCCTATGATGAGAAATTACACAATACACATGCACAAACATAAGGATTCACAGAAGGAAAATATTTTGTATTACTGTTACTGCGTTGAGGCCAAAGATCCTGGTTACTGATCAGTTAAAGTGAAAATATTTCAGGTTTAAAACTATTTTTTAATAAGAATACCTGTGGCTTTTCAAATGTTTCTTTTCTTAAGCTCACACCGTCAAAGCTCTTAGCAGATTTTAGGCACTGGCATTAACAAATTTTAATAGAAAAAACTTAAACACATTCCTCATATTGCAGTGGTAAAAATTTATACATCTTATAAAGGAATTTAATTTCCTTATGTAAAGTAGAATTTTACACATTGCTTTTAATCAATAAAATTGGCACAGTTCTTATTTTAAAAGGGCTATTTTTTTCCCTGAAAGCTGCCTTTTACATAGAATCCAAAAAATCAAAAGGGTCTCCAATTAAGAAAACATTTTCTGTTGTGCTGAATTCATGTTACCGTACTGTGAGCTCTGACATTTTGTTTCTGTGGTAACCAAAATCAGCTGATTAGTTGGCATGGCAACAGAAAAGATGTAATCCCAGCAGACACACTCTAATCAATGCCCCCAGCACAGATGGTCTCCGGAGGATCAACAAGAAAGAGGCTGGCAGGCATTCAGTGTGTCACGTGGTTCCTCTAGACTAGGCCAGGAAAAAACTAAAAAAGAACATTTCTCAAACTAACCAATAGCTTTTTAACCCCTTCACTGCACTTATTAATTGTAGGAATTTCAACTGCTTGTGCCTATGAAAACCAACTTTGGTCCTGTGGCTTCTTGCTCATAATCTCATTCTCCTAACACTTGGCATCTTTAGAAGTGTTCCCCCTTTATTAACTACCATTTCTCAAGCATGAGTTGTTGCTTTAAAAGAAACCTAAAGCTTATACAAATCTGGGCAGTGCCTGATATTATTAGTAGGGATTAAAATCGCTGAGTTTCAAGGGCTTCACCAATAAAATCCAGCTGATGGCTGCACTCCTGGGAGAAGGAAGTGAGTAGTGAGCACATGGGGCGCTCACTGCTTTAGTGGTGAAGGAAATGCTCACCTCTGCCATTCCACTGGGAAACACAATCATTGGTAACAGTAGAAAAACAATTTGCCTACACATAAAGTGGGAGTGCCAGAGTTGGAGTAAACACAGTGAAAACAGAGACTTAGGAGGACTCCTAAAACTTTCATCTACCTGAAGAAAAAGTGGAGCATCTCCCAGGTAAATAAACAGTGGTCTTGGCTTCAGTATTTTACAACAGATTATTTATGCCATTGAACTAGTATAAATTCTTTATACTATTTATTTTTATCTTGATAAAACAAATTTTAAGTGTGTGACATTTTACAAGGACCTCTTAGCCTCTAAAGACAAGCTGGACTATTCACATTCTTTCTACAAGGCATGTTCTGGCCATATTTGTTTCAAAAGAATTGGAAATGCCATTTTATATATTCATCCAATACTGCCGTATGCAGTGAGTTGCTCTAACTAGCAAAATGTTGAAATGAATAAAATACATTTGATTCTTGATTCTGTGGATTCCTGATTCAATATATAAAGAAAAGTGTTTCAGTCTGTTCTATTAGAAGTTAGTGAATTTGCAGCTTAGAATTTGCTTGTGAAACTGAAGCAGTTTGTATTTTTGCATTAATGCCCCTCATGATAGTTTCACTGGGTCAAATTCAGGTATGATCCAAGGAGCTACACATCCTATTGCAGTGGTGCTTATTATTGGAGGTCTGCTTTGTTCCATCACCAATGCTGTGAAAGTAGTTTATCTTTGGGTACAAGATCTGTTCCCTTGGTATATCTGCTAGAAGTTAAATAAGCACAGCTGAGACAACATCCAGCTCTACCTTATTTCTTAGAGAGTATTATTTCTTCTCCCCTATTCCACCAGCGACTGTGTTTTATTTCAGATTCACTCTTACTAACAAATCATATTTTAAACATGCAGACATTAAACCCTCTTAATTTTTCTCCTGGAATCCAAATCGCATCCCCACCTGAACTTCTCTACGAGGACACAGAGGTTTATACTGGCATCTGCCAGAGAAATTGGCAAGTCAGCCAAGGCTGAGGGGAGGTGTGCACTGCCAGGGCTGCAGCAGACAGAGACCCACAGCAGGTCAGTGCCATGGGAGGCAACTGTGGCCCCCTCACACGAGGTGGGCACCCAGCACAGTCCATAATGTTCATCCAACTTTGACTTGCTGGATGCTAACCTCCTTTCCAAAATAACAACACTGTCCTGTGCTGCCATGATAAGTAAAAAAATCTAATTGAATTGAGAAAAGCGTTCTGTATTTACTGGTTAAAAAAAAACCCAAACCAAGCCCCTTTTATTTGCTCTTGCATTGAAGCTAACACAAAGGGAAATGACACAGAAATCGCTTTAGGGAGCTCAGCAATGAAGCAGCTACTGTGTAACTTTGGCACATCTCCTGCACATGGCCAGGACTCACAGCTCCTCATGAGCAGTGAGGTGGCAAAGAGGTGAAATAGGAATGTTTGGTCTCTTCTCTGTCTATCTGTGTAAGCCACAGGGGCTGGAGTGGGCTCACATGTCCTGGCTCACCAGTGCACCACACCAGCAGCTTCTTCTCCCTCTGAGCCCCACCCAGGGGAGATGGAGAGCAGGACCTGCAAAGGGATGGGACTCACATACATGCTACAACAGCACAAGCCATATAACTCAGGTCATAATTCTGTTAATAGACAGTAACTTAAAATTAAAACCTCCACGGTCCTGCAGATCAAGGGCAACACAGATTCCCCTGTGGCCCCTTCTCCTTTTGTTCTTTTCTTTATGAAAAAGCTAAAGATGAACAGGTACAAGATGGAAAATCAGTATTTCCTGTTGTCATTATTTACCGTTAATGTATTAAAATGTATTCACTTCCATTTTGAAACAAGTTTACTGATTATTTTTTTAAATTTTAATTTTTATTTTTCACACTTTTGGTACTGCTTTTCATATATGGCACCCATTTTAATTACAAGACTAGATGTGCCCTATGCATGAAGATAATTCACTATCAATTGCAAATATTGAATAGTCACTAACTGTTTGATCCCGAGTGTGCTTCAATCGACTCCTTCCATTGACTTCACTGCCTTTTGGACTGGCATCCTACTGTATTATATCAGTATTTTCCTAGAGATTTATAGTCCTTGTACCAGGTAAGTATCACATGTAATGCATACTGACCCAAATGGTAGGTACCAGCAATGTGAAATCTCATTGCTGCTTTAAAATCAACCCAGAGAAAAGGAAATGGGCAGGCTGAATTTAATTCACATAAAACTGATAGTTCTGGCCTGGCATTATGTGCTTCTCTTCCAATCTTTTTGGGAGAATTACAGGAGATACCCACACAATCTTCCAGTCACATAATGAATACAGAAAACAGTAATTAAATGGCTCCAAGGGTTTTCAGTATTAGAAATAATCTCAGTCTACCAGAAAAATTCAACAGCCAATATTTTTCACCCTTAAACACTCTGAAAAAGAAAAAAGAAAACCAAAAACCAACAACATGTTTTATTGAGTCTTCCCTGTTACCTTGGTAAACATGGGTTTTCCATGCTGAGTGACCATGGTGCATTGATCACAGTCCACTGTGATGGATGAGTTGTGGTATGACTCTTTTGAGTGCTTGAGAATGTAATACAGGTCTGTTACACCTCCTTCAAAGACAGTGCTAAAATAACGAGGAATGAGGGTTCTTCCAATTGCTGTGAGGAAAATACAAAGCAGAATTCAGCAAATGCTCTAGGTTACAAAATCTCAAACCATTTGCTAACAGCACATGAATAATTTTAAGCGCAATGAAATCAAACTTTCATTTAATGAATATAATACATGCTCTCTCCCTTTTGTAAAGACTAAGTTGTGCCTGCTCCCACTGAAATCAATGAAAATGGCTGACTCCATTCAGAGGGAGTGGGCTCATCATAGTTAATCTTTTTACATTGATGGCAAGTTAGTGTCACTCTTGAAACCATCTGCAAGGTTTTTTGTCCCAAAGTAATTATTACACAAAAACCCACATGATGTCAATTACTACTGAAAGCTGAATATTACCCGTAAGTGTATAAATACAAGTGGTGAGTATTGACAGAAATATACTTCTACACCCAAAAAAGCAAAGCACTTTTATATAAGGAGGTTGTGTACACATATATGTGGTTTTTTTGCGTGTGGGCATGTGTATATTTATATATACCCACCCATACATGCACACACACACACACACACACGTGCACATGCACCCCTGATTCAACAGGAGGGCTGCTATGGAGAAATCAGAGTACTGGGGATTAAAGGAGGACCTGAGAAGGAAAAACTAGAATGTTACACAATGTATGACTATGCACAGATCTATCTGAGGTCTCTCTTTAGACCAGAATTTATGCCATAGGCTAGAAAAGTCTGAGCTGACACCTGAATTCCCTTACATGCACCACTTAAACCCCAAACTATGGACTGATGCTACCAATTCAGAATTATTTAGCTGGGCAAAACTCTCACTGAAGTCACATCTCGCACTTCAGCAGTAGTGTCAGGTAAGTTTTACAAGGTCTAATTCCAAAGATGTAGTAGTGAGAGTGAGCTTCTGAGTGTGTTTCAGATGCACAAACTGACAGGAGCAGCACTGACATCAAAGGCAATTACCTCATATGCAACTGATGCTTTCCATCTCCTTCTCTACAGATAAATTTGAATGTAACCACAAGCCTGGTATAAGAGAACATTTCAGTTTATAATAGATGGATACTTCCATACCAAATGACTCATTGCTTTGCAAGCATTAATCAATCCACAGTAATTTTGAGTGGTGGATATATAAAAATTGTCTCCATTTTACAGGGAAAAACCAAGCAATCTAAATGGTCTCTTGGAAGAATGAGGTAGAAAAGTCACCATCCACAGACAAGATTAGAGTTTATTAGTTCCTAATTCTAATTTGTCTATTAGGACTATGTGGTGACTCATTTGCTGTATACTTTTGAGAGTGATTTCTAAAAAAACTATTTTCATAGAAATTTTGCCCGCATATGAACAAAGGCTCCTGAACCTAAAACTGCATTTGCAAATGGGTGTTGCAAATTAAAAAATAAGGAATTTTCACAGTAGTTCTGTGAATAATGTTTTTGTTCAGTGCATTGCAATGTGTAATATTGTATAGGCAGTCATAATGCATATTGTAAAATGAAAATATGCAAATATAGAAAATTTGGACTTGTAAAAGCTTTTGCTGTAATATCACAAATCAATGTAGTTTAATGTACAAAAACTTACCACACTCTGGAAGTGGCTGATAATTCAGTCAATACATTGAAAGACTGTTATATAACCGTAGATCCTAAAAAATCACACCCACTAACCATGAATATGTTTTTTTACAGTATTTTAACTTAATTTAGAAAAACTGAAGTCCAGTGTATTAGCATAGGATTTAATTCATGGTTTAACTCAAATTTCTTCATGTTGGTGTGGTATATAGTAAAAAGTGAAATTTAACCATCAAGTTAATTTCTTGCTCCCCTAAGGCTAATTAGTACAAATTAAATTTCCTGCTAATCATCTTAAGCAGCAAATGGGTGATAGGAAAATCCAGCATTCCTACTGATTGTGATAAACTTCTATTCATGTGACTTATGCACTGCATAAATATCTTGAAACTATTTAACTGCAGTTCATAGACTGTTTCCAAAGTAGCATGGTCATGTGGTGCTTTTTGCCCTGTATTTACAGCTACAAAACATTAAAGAAGACTAGAAATACATTGAATAATTTATTCTTATTACTAGTAAGCATTTTTGTAAAAATTATTTCCTGGTAAGTGTTATCTATGTTTGCCACAGGGATATGCTACTGTTAAGAACAAAGTGGGAGACCAAAAGAATGAATGGGAATAGAGGTGCACACAAGGATGTGCTCCATGGAACCTCATTTTCCATGACAGATGCACATGCAGACCCCATCGGTCTGCAGAACTGAAAATAACTGATGCAAATATCCAGCATAAATGTTTATAGCTAAATATTCAGCTCCAGTAGAAACAGTAATGGAAGCCTGTGTTAATGAGCAGACCTCTCCTCAGCTCACTGTTCTGCTTTGCCATGAAAGACTGAAGCATGTTCAAGGTTTTAGTTCTCTTCCTGAAGCACTCAATGGCTTAACAAGATCATTTCATTTCAAGGATAAACATGAAACTCTACAGCAGTAACAAGGGGTTTTTGTGCAGGAGATGGAATTTCCAAGAACAACAAAAGGCTGTGGAGTAACTCTTATGAGGCCTAGAGATCATCCCAAACTTTGTGCACTTTTTAGTGGAAAGGACTATTCCTTGAATTTTTCTCTTCCAAGGCATAATTGTGTAGATGAGTATGCAAACACATATGTGTGTGCACTCCCTGCTCTGCTGCATGCATACATACAGTCCTTTCCTGAGGAAAAGAACAGGAACATGGCAATGGTGCTTTTCCTTCCCTACTTGCAGTAGATGGATGCTCACATGTGGATGTACACACTCCGCCTGTGCCTGCCACTGTACATGTCAACAAGATTTCTGCAACACCATGTATTTTCTGCTAGAGGTAGCAGGATACTTTCTAGGAGGACCCCAAACAATGTGAAAGTAGAATTATGGAACAACTGGATACTTGTTGCAACTTCAGGATGTGATCCAGCCATCCTTATGCCCGTGAAATGAACTCAGCCCTTGCAGAGCACAGAGCAAGCTCCATGCCAGCCTTGGGTTTGCAATTCCCCAGTGGCAGTCGCAGCAATAATGGAAAGTATAGTCTAATAGCACATCCAATTGCACCACTGGGGCTGAATGAAGTTTTAGGTGCTACTGCAATTGGAATTCCTTCATATTTTAGAGCCTGGCTTTTAGTCCACAAGAAGACATGTTCAAGAATGTGTGTCTGTGCTTGGTTTTGTAGGGTTCCTCCCTACCACACCACACTTCCCTAAAGGAGCATCACATGGAGCTTTCAGAGCTAGCACACAGATCTTAGCCACAGGAGCTCTGAGCTGAGTATTTGCAGGAGTAGTTTGAGTATGGAGAAGTTCTTGTAATTTCCTTTCTTAATGTCAGGGCTTTATTCTTTCTCTCTACAGTCTTTTTTCTCACCCATGCCCATGTCCAATTGTCTGTTTTCTCAGCATATGGTTAGTTTCTTATCTTCTAAGATCACTGTTAAACTCCCAGTATCTCCTTCTCTTCTCCCCTTCCTCAATGATACTTCTTTTTCTTTTGCTCAAGGAAACTCAATAACCTACCCTAAATCTACATGATTATTTTATTCTTCTTAATTAAGAAGGCCCAGTTATTTTGTCTCAGTTTCCTTGTTCTCCTCCATGCTGCCCAAAATGCCAACTTCACACACAATTTTTCGGTGCCCTGCCTACCCAGTCAGACTTCCACAGCTGCTTGTCCCAGCCTCCCTGCCTTAGCAGCCTAAGCACTGCTTCTGGATCCTGAATTTGTGGGTTACCCCTGCCAAATTCTCTCTCTGCACTTTTTCCCACTCAGTCTCCTTGTAACAGCAGATTCTTTCTCCAAATTAATCCCATCTTTCCTTCCTCCCTTCAGTGTCTCATCAGCCAGAGAGCAGTCAAGAGGACCTCTTTCCTCTCTGTCCCCTACCCAGCCAAACATATCCCCATTCCCTGTATTTTTCTCATTGACTTCCAACTCTCCTTTACTCAATCATCATCCATCTTCTCCTTTCATCTCCCAGTTACTATTTCGCTCTCTTCTATCATATCAATGGCATCTGTCCTGATTTTTACCCTGCTTTTTTCCTCTCTTCTGTTCCCTTTTCTTTCCTCTACCTTCAGGTCAAGTTCTTTCCTTCTTAAGGCCACCTGGATCCCAGGCACATCTGCCAGCAGTGTAGAAGAAAGGTTTCCTGGTCTTGCATGCATGACTGGCTGAGCCTTCCCTGTGGGTTTTGTAATGGAAATGACCATGATTCCACATAGCCCTGACCTGCAAAATATCTAGTTACTCTATGTAGTTGGCATGTGGATGCCTCATTGAGCTATGTTCCTGGGAAGGGAGACCTTGGAAATTTTACCTGTCAAACTCCATTAAAGCCTGCACTGAATACCTGAGAATGGGTACCTTTCTTTCCCCCCAAATATTTTGAAATCTGTTAAATTCAGTCAGATTTCCACAAAGAGGACAAAGGGATACCCCTACCACAAAGGTGAACAACCCTACTCCAAAGCATACAGATTTTTAAACATTTAAAAAACAAACTTGTAATACTTTCATAACATGGAAAAAATGCCTTCATCTACACAAATAATAAGAGGCTTTTATGTCCCATTACCCAGAAAAGACCATTTAATAGTGTGAAACGTGACACCCTCCAATGCAAGACACTGTATATACTAGAAAGAAAAATCACCCACTCCTCAGGCATTAATTCCAGATCGATGGAATGCTGCCTTAAATTATCATTTTGTCCTGGGCAGCATTCCTCCCTAGCTGAAGGAGGATTTCTTATGAGAAGTGGGCACTGCCATGTAATCTTTGCTTGATTTTGCTAGCAGTTGCCCAGATAGCAAAGCAAAGTGACAAAGATCAGCTGGATTTAGCAACAATAAATAATTATTTATATGAAAATGTCTTCAAGAAAGGCATATCAGAAATTAATATTTTGCACAAAAAAAGAATGCTGTCTTCCACTGGCATGATGTAACTTTAGCTTAGGTTGTAGCATCACAGCTTGGCTAAATGTGATTCCATGTAACTTTTCCGTGCATCAGAGACCAAAAAACAATTTTAGAATTGAAGTAAGATAGATTTGTGACCCCCTCCACCC